GGCGGTGGCACTGCTTCTTCGATGCATCGCCGCGCACACCGCCTGTCTACTGCACAATATGATCCCGCTAATCCGAGAGAGAGAGAGAGAGAGAGATGAAACGAGAAAGAGCGAGCGCTTGAGTCCGTGAAGGAGGCTACTGATGTGGTCGTGATGGAGGTAGCGGATAGTATACGGACTGTACGGTTTTTGGACGGTCGTCCAAAAGTGTTGATATTAAGAAAAGCGGGATGCTGCCGGGCCCGGCGCGCGGGTCCGCGGTCAGGGTCGGTCCTCCTCGGAGCCCCCTCCTGATGCCATGTCAGCGGAATGTGAATGCAATGTAATTATGTACACCCTTGTCGCACGCGGGGCGTGAAGCTAATGGCTGCTGCTCTCCTTGTTTCAGGTGAGTTCCCCGCAGGGCTGAACGCGGCGTGAGCACGGCGGCGGCGGCGGCGCGAGCTTAGCGTGAGCGTAGCGTGAGCGTAGCGCGGCCCGGTAAGTAGGCGAACATAACCTGTACGTGTGAGCTCGTTCCCCCGCGGACCGGGCCTGCTCGGGCCGAGCCGGGCCGGGCCGGCCGGGCGGATAGTTGATCCCGCAGGACCTTCGGCCTGGCCTGGGCCGGCCTGGGTGCGCCTGCCGGACTTCCCTCTGAGCCGGCCGCGGTGGACTTGAGCACGCGGCCCTCGGCCCTGGCGGCGTCCGTCTGTCCGTCCGCTTGTCCGCGCGGGGTCCACAATGAGAAGGGTTTGGGCGTGATGCAGCTTCCTCCGAGCGAGCTGCTGCAGCGGGGAGATGAGAAAAATAATGCCGGGCTGTCCTCGTGGCCGTAATGAGGATGAGAAAGTCAGGCGCGCGGGGTCGCGGCGCGGTCAGGAAATTAAATGGGAGAGGACGATATTCCGCGCGCGGCTTCAGGGCGCCGCCGCCGCGAGTTCCGGGAAAGGCTTCCCTCCTGCGGCGGCGGCGGCGGCGAACGTGCGGTGCCCTGCGCCAGTGCGGCGGTCGGTGTCGCTTGAGGTCAGGCGGTGTGCAACTTATGCCGTGATAAGGCCTCCGTCAACCTGCGCGAGAGCTGTCATGCGCCCGTGCACTCTTGTGCAGGTGTGTGCAGGGGACACCTTGTCGCCCTCATGTGCCCCATATGGGACCTGAGGTGTGTGCAAGCGCACTCGCCTATTAACTGTACCGTGTAAACTCGGGCCTGTCACGCGGCCCCCTGGAGTGTGGTCGGAATATCGGTGTTGCAGCTTCTTTGCGGCGTGGCACAATTATTTGGAGTGCTCGTTACAAACCCTTTGGCGGCGACGATTAAAATGATTAATTTTTAACAATTTTCACTAGTTGAACAGTGAATTCCAACAAGGGCTTATTATAGATTTAGCTCCTGTTTGGTCCAGGGCTCCTCAGTCGCTCCTCTTGTTTTTGAGTCAGTGGACTCCTGTGTAAAGCGAGTGAAAGAAGCCAACGACTACGGTACTACGGTATAAGTTATGGGGATGGCATAGTGCACTCGTGTTCATGGGCGTGTTCAGTCTGATCTCTTGCCAGACCACTACAAGTTCCGGTCCACACGCTGGTTATCGCGGGGGCATAAATTGGAAGGCGAGCGATGAGCCGTATCGGAAGCGGCAGGTGGGAACCGGGGCGCGGCCGGGCCGCCTCGGCCGCCTCGCATGCCAGCGGCTCGTACGGCAGCAGCGGCAGTAAGTCTGCAAAAAGGAGCATGCGGAAAGCAGGCGTTTGAAGTGAGCCAGTTGTGTGGGGGTGGCGGGCCCGGCTGGCTCGCTAGCTGGCGAGCTGGCCCTGCCGGCCGCTGCTGTACCGGGTCCCGCTGCACCTTATTTACATCTGTTTTAGCTCAGCCAATTATGAATAGGGCGCAATCTGATGCCGCCCGGCGCGCGGCCCGCGCGAGGCTGAGAGCCGCGGCGACCAATTTCTCATTCCCGATTGTTTTGCCCTTTATTTAGGGTGGCTCGGTCCCGTTAAGTCCGGCCGCGGCGTTGCCTGGCTCTGCCACCCCGAGCGCGCGCGCGCGCGCCTCGCTCGCGACCGGACTGGATAGCCGCAGAGATCGGCGATACCTTTGAATTCCCTCGCTCGGGCTGCTTATCCGCGGGGGCTTATTCAAGGGCGAATTTCCATTTAACGGCGGCGATTGTGCCGGGGCGATTGGGCGACATTGAGCGGGGGAGGGGCGGGGCGCGGGCGGGGACTGCCCGCTAGCACGTAGCGGCGCGTAAGGGTCGCGCGTACCGTAGGGGGCGTGCCGGGGGCGTGCCAAGGAGTGTCCGTACCGGAGCCGTACCGGAGCCGTACCGGAGGCGTACCGGAGCCGTGCTGCGAACGCTCCTCGCGAGCCAAACGCCGGTGCCGACAAGTGGGGCACAGCGTGGCGTGGGCATCTTTGGCGATGGAGGTCGTAATCAAAGGGATAAACGGCCAGACGTCGAGGCAGGCCAGGCCGGCCGGTCAGCGAGGCTCGTGCCCCGTCCGCCACGCTCTGCGAAAATGCACCGTGAAATAAATGGCGCGGGCTGAGAGAGGCTGCGCCGCTGCGCCGCTGGTATGGTGCTTTGCCCTCGTGCCCGCGCCGTCTAGTGCGAGGAGTGGATGAGTGCACTCGCGGTTGTATTTAGGTTGACACATTACCACGTCGCGGCCGCAGCTCTGTTGTGGCTGATGATGATATCTGAAGGATTTTCTCCCCCTCTTTTCAAGTCTCCCAATCAGGCTCGTTACTATTTCTTTTACATCTTTTTTGTGTGTTTAGTTTTCGCTCTCCCTTTGCCGTACCGACCGACTGGCTGGACTAGATTGGAAGCCGCCCTTGTTGCATCAGCGGGACTGGTTGTTGTTGTCCTCTAATTAGCTCTCTAGA